CCAACATCTATTAAAATGAATTGAATGCCATTTAAGGTATCCCATGGCAGGGTGATATAGAAAATGGGGTGGGAAATGTATTGCATAGAAAATGCATTGCGAATTTTAGTAACTATACTTCATTATTACTGTTCATCTGAAATCAAACTTCTCTCAATATTTTCATGGGCCTACATTTTCAGTATAGCATACCATGGTTAGCTATGCAATGGAAGGATTATTTGGACCAAAAATTTTGTCCGAAAGATGGACACCATTGTATCCTGCTCTGGCTGAATGCTTCATTAGCACCAAACTGCATATTATACTTATTTATTTTATTTGTGTAAAATTGATATCCCAGCCTTTAACACAAGTGGCTGCAGGACAGGTCACACTCACATATAAACAATGGGATCATTCATGATTTGGAACGAAGTGTCATCAGTATATTGATGGCACCCATCTCCGTCTCTCTGTTCCATCGGTATCAGGAGAGGCAGAGAACTAAACTTAAGATTAGAGAAACCAAAATGGTCAGATTCAACCATTCCTGAGGTCAGTTGGATGCTACTTGCACAGGTAGAGTTGGCCAATTTTCTTCATCTGCAGGAGGTGTGGGATGGAAGAGAATTAAAAAATGTGTAATGTAGGGGACGGGGGTCTGTCCTGTCCCTTGGTGCGTGGCCTGTTCCCTGTGCTCCACACAGGTGCTTCCAGAGACCATGGAGGCCGTGCAGGTTCAGGGTGTGGGTTGGGAAAGGCTGGGCACTTATGGCAGAAACCAATTGCTGCCTTGGACCTGGCCTGGTGATGCTCCAATTTGGTTTCGGGGTGTGGCCACGCAGCTTACACAATTAATACCTGTTCTGGGCCTGTTGTGATGCAGTTGAAAAGGTCTTCACTGCCTCCTTGGGCCATGATGATTAGATCCTGTAAGCCAGGAGGGACTTATGAGGCTTGGGATTTTTATGAGGCTGGTGACTTATGAGGCTTGGGATTTGCCGTTAAAAAAAAAGTGCAGCAAGGATTGTGGGAACTAGCATGCAGGCAATATGATAGCTGCTTGCTCCTGTTTATGAACCCATGGAGCCCAAAGATATTAAACTCACTGTTCAGTAAATGTCAAGGCTGAATTTCATCATGTTCTCCCAGAGCATTTCTGTCTTTTGATTACAATCTATGAAAAGCAAGCAAGGTTGAAGCCAGACTGTTGAGTGAGCTTAGTTCCTGTTTACATTAATTGTCAAGTCATGACAGTTGCTTTCAGTGGGATTGATTTCAGTGGGAAGGAACCAAGTTAAACTAATTCAGTCTGGATCCAAACCATTGTTTTGCTTTTTGTTGGGGGCAATTAAGCAGCAGCCACAAGTGCTGTGTATACACTTAGGTTATCCTGATATTTCCATGTGAAGAGCGACTAAGATGCCACAGGGTTCCTTCCAAGTTTGTTTTTCTGTGTCCATACAGAGTTCCCAGATGCATATGTTCAGATACTTAAAGATCTTTGCACACAGCTATATGAAACTCACACTCTTAATGAAAACACGTGTACTCATAGCAATTGTGATGCTGTCCTAAATAAGCAACCTGCTCTCTCTCTCTCTCTCTTTCTAAGAAATGCCTCACAGGAGATGTATGCCTTTGAACTATCTGCAGAAGTGGTTGCATGCCAGTTGCTCAACTTAGGTCTGTTGGGAGAGTGACTCAGTGGGAGGAAAGATAAAGAAAGTATGTCAACACTGGTTGTAAGAAACCTTCTTTCAACTTTCATCTCCTTGAGAACCTTATCTCCTGGATCTACTTCTTTTCTCTGTGGCAGTGGTCTTGAATTATGAAACCCAAGAACTTGATGCACACTCCAGTACTGTTATGAAGTGTATATCTGTCAGATTATCCTCCGTCATCTCAGACACAATGAGATAAAAAGACAGACATGGCCATAAGGAGCAGAATTCAGAGGGGGTTTTTTTTGTTGATCTTGCTGCAGAGGCTTCATGACCTTCAGTGAGCCTGCTAACTTCTGTGTCTCAATCTTGCATCAACGAAAGAGTGATAGGAATACTTCCCTCTCCTGTCTTTGCTTTAACCTTCCGCTCTAGCTTCACTAGCACCACTGGCTCTGCAGAAAAGGGGGCATTGCACTGCCGAAGTGGTTTAGGTTTTTCAACAACGTTTGCACAAATGTAACAGCTTACTTGCGCTTCAAGGACCTTGTGGTGATCAGTGCTAGAACAGGTGAATGTATATGAAGTGGGTCTTTTTTGTGAAAACTTCTACGAGCAACATGAGATTATTTACATCCATCATTTTTGTCATGGGAGGGGGGTATGTTGAGATGGGAACGGTGTCTTCAGTTAAGGATGTTCCATACTCCTGCCTGAATCCCTCCAGTTTGAACCCAATTATCACCGTCTCCCTCCCCTCTAGGGTCCCCGGAAGCCTGCGTAAGGCTATTATAATAAAGTCTATTGCAATAAGAGGGGGGTGGAATTGATGCTAATGTAATGGATGACATAAGCTTTGCAAAGGCTAATCGAAAGCAGCATCAGCAGAGATGAACAAGCCACATTAATCTGAACAGTGAGCTGCTAGCTTGGGCCCTCCTTCAGAAAAGTACAAAGAGTCTGGCAGCCTTGCAACTGGGAATCGAGATCTCTCTAGGCCTTTGATTGTTTAGTGAAGTGTACTAGAGCTCTTTCATTCCCATGTATTAAAATCATCAGTACACTTAGAATTCCAGGGAGGGGGTGGTGGTCAAGCCTCCTGTCTAGGTCTTCTCCAACTGTGGACACCTATGCAGTTGTGGAACCCAGAACTGATCCCAGTACTCTAGATGCAGTCTCATCTGTGCAGAATAATTGTGACTGTAGAAGGAACCTGTGGGCATCTGAGAAGATTTATGTGGATACATGTGCACCCACAGGCACCACGTTGGTGACCCCTGGTGTACAGGACAGCCTTAATTGACCTAATCCCTTCCAGTTGTTGATGGGCTACATCATCCCAAGCACCACAACCAACAATCAGGAATGAGGAGATGGTCAGGGATGATGAGAGTTGTAGTCCAACAACACCTGTAGGCTGGGGTGTGATAAAATTGCAATGTGGTCAACACTTCAGAGAGGGGGAAAAAGTGTCAGGATAAGATGGGTTTATACAATGAACTCTATTGTAGCTTGCAATCCAAATAATATAAAGTATACCAAGTGCATCAAGATTTTTCAAAAACCTACCAGACTGTAATTATGCGTTATTTTAGTTTACACCAGCACAGCCTCTGAACTTTGGGTGCAAGGATGCCTCTGCTTTAGGTAATGGAATGTTTTAATTTGTTCTTCTTGACTCCCCTCCCTGGCATCCTACTCTGCAACTGCCAGCAAAGTTATTGCTCTATCATGTAAGAAAAAGAGCTACTTATGTCATTCTCAGCCCCAAGGAGAGAAACAAGCCAAGGGATCATTTCTGGCTAAGCTCTTGATATCTCAATCTCCAAGGCTAGAGGCGCTCCCCTTCTGAAGGACAAGCAGGAAGGTGAGGGCGGGGGGAGGAGGAGGAGGAGGAATGGGTATGAGGTGGGTGGTCCAACTGAACAAAAGCCCATCTCTGACATCTTTCCCTCCTTCCTTCCTCTTCAGCTTCAAATAAGCTTTCACGGCGGCCTCTTCTGACTCTCACTGCTCTGCTTTCTTCTATACTCCGTCCCTGCCCTTTGACCCCCCAGCTCTAGGCCAAGTCTATCTGTGATCCATTCCTGAGAGGAACTCTCTGGCAACATTCTCAGTTCAATTTCTACCACTGTTGCGAAACCCTCAACAAATTTAACTAGGGAGTAATCCCTACTGAAGAAGGTAGGGCCTACTTCCAAGAAAACGTTACAGCTATATCCTCTCATTTGTCCATCATGCCAAGCTAAGGCATGCATAAGTGTGGTTTCCAGACCACACCAAGGCCTACTTAAGCTTCAGCAAAGGTAGGCTTGCCACATGCCAGGAAAATTACAGTGGTACCTCAGGTTAAGAACTTAATTTGTTCCGAAGGTCTGTTCTTAACCTGAAACTATTCTTAACCTGAAGCACCACTTTAGCTAATGGGGCCTCCTGCTGCCGCCGTGCCACTGGAGCACAATTTCTGTTCTCATCCTGAAGCAAAGTTCTTAACCTGAGGTAATATTTCTGGGTTAGTGGAGTCTGTAACCTGAAGCGTCTGTAACCTGAGGTACCACTGTACTGACATGTCCTGGTTTTCAGGTGCAAAAATGGCGTGGGGGGAATTTTGCCGAAGTGGCAAAATGTTTTCCCCAAAAAAGATCAACAATTTTGGTGGTTTTCTAAAAAAAAAAAAGCTCAGCTTTGCGGGTATCAGGAATTTTACTTCTTGAAATATGGCAACCCTAAAAAGGGGTGGTGCCGTCCCATAGAATCGCACGGGAAAGCTGCAATCCTGGGCACGTTTATTTGGGAATAAGCCCATTGAAGTCAACATTTCCTGCTGAGCAAATATGCAGAGGGGATCCCACTGCACTACATAGCAAAGCCTCTGCCTATTTTCCTAGGTGCGGAGCAAAGCAAACAAACGCAAGGCAGGTATTTGTTCTGTCCGTTTACAACATCAAATTCAACATCACTTCACGAGTGTCTTGTGGTCAGAAAGCCTCTCCTAATCTAAGTTAGGATTGTGGTCCGTGCGGAATCTGCTGGCGATAGCGTATTCCAGAGTACAAGGTTGCGCTATTGTGCTCGTGTCCCCCAAGCCACACGCGCGCACAGCCACCCCTCAAACGTGGCCGGAATCCGCGCGAGAGCCACGACTCTTTGCCCTACTTCTTTCTCCCCCTCTCCGGGACTCTTCCTGAGGCGGAAAGGCGACGCGCCACCAAACCCCACTGAGGCGAGTGGGACGTTTCCGACCACGAGCGCCTCCAAACGCCCTTTCCTCCCCCCAGTCAGTACGAAGCAAGGAAGGCGCCTCTCCTGCCTCCCCCCCTGTCAGAGCCCCCTCGAAAGAGCTCGAAGGACCGAATGGACGCGGAGCCCGAGAGCGCGGCTCGGACGCTCCTGGGTCTCTGCCCCTCCCGCCCGGCGAGCCGAGAGGGGCGGCCCCGGCCATGCCAGCCCCCTGTCTCCGCCCCTCGGCCGGGCCGCTCCTCCTCCTCAGCGCCAGCGCCAGAGAGGCAGCCGGAGAGCGCCAAGCCGATCGCCTTCGGAGAGTTTCGCGGAGCAGCTGTGCGGGAGGAGGCGGGCGGCACGGAAGGCAGAGACGGGGGTCCGGCGAGACCCCCGAGACCCTGCGCTCCTTCTCCTGCTCCTCGCACGGTAAGGAAACAGAAGCGACCTCACTTCCCGCAAGGGGGGGGGGGGGCTTCGCTTGCCTTTGCTCTGGTGGGATGTTGCAATAATAACAGCGACAATAATTAATAAAAAGCGGCCGGGGCGGGGAAGGGAAGCAGGGGCGGGGAAGGAGGGGGGTTTCGCCGCTCGCTCGTCTCCCGGGAACGGCAGGCCGGGCCGGGCTGCACCAGGAGAGGAAGGGGCTGCGCTTGGAAGGGCTTGTTGAGGGCTGCGGGGGGGGGGTCGGTTCTACATTCCCAGTAAACGTCACTACTTTGGGTGCAAAACGCTCTTCCTTGGGCTGGGGTGATCGGGCTGCTTTGGGCTGAGGGACCCAGCAAAGTCCACTTTAGACCCAGTTGGAGAGAAGGGAGATTGCAAAAGCGGGGGGCGGAGGGAGAGAGGACCCGGGCGGGAGATCGTGGCCTGCCCCGAGCCTTGGTCGTCGCCCCCCCCCCGAAGAAGGCTGCATGTGGGTGTCAGATTCGCCAACAGACGGTGCGCCTGGCCCGAGCCCTTCGCTTCCCCCCAAACTTGCTAGGCCAGCCCTCTGCCAACAGGAGGCTTCGCGCGGAGCGACGAGCCTCTGGCCGCCAGAGACTGATCAGCGCGCTCCGAGTGGGGCGAATCGATCCATCGGGGACGAATGAATTAAACCCACGCGGGAGGAAGTGGGTTGGAAACAATAGATAGTGACTCGCGTGTGTTTCTTTGGACTTGCCTTACCTCGCGCTCCCGGATAGTCTTCTTCCGTGTCGCTGGAAAGTTTCGGGATCCCTTTCGGAGACACGCAGCTGTGGTGACAGTTGGAGGTGACAGGCGCTTCTCTCCGACGGGAGACGGACAGGGGGAATTAAAATATAAATAAAGGGAATCGGCAGGAGGGTATTCCTCCTCCGCCCCTTCCTGCAACATTTTTGCTCTTGGGGTTCATGGTTCTTTGGTGGGTGGGTGGGTGAATGAGGATGGCTTTTACGGTACCAACGAGTACATTGGGTTGCTTTCCCCCCAGATGCAAACTACCAAGTACAGATGTGAGGGAGAAAGAAGTATATTTAGTGTAAAACAAACAAACAAACAACCAACAACAACACAGAACTGCATGATATCGCTGCTGGGTCCTAAATTTACGGGTGTAAATTTGAAGTAGGAGGAAGGTGGTTGCAGAAGTGCCAAAGTCTGTACAGTACTGTACTTGCCGGGAACTAGGGAATTGTTCCAGAACACTCAGGAAAACATTCCTATCCTGAATAGATACCCGGGCTCCGCAAATTTTACTGGACTCAATAATACATGCAGTACCCTGTTTGTTCTCTAGTAATATAGACAGATTCTATGCAGATTTACTCCGTGGATTTCAGTGGGACAAAATTCCAAGTAGTAGGGTTCCAGTCTCTAGGACTGAATTAAGGATGGCTGGCTGAGAGCAATTATCCTGAGAATGCCTTAATCAGTGCAATACTTTGCATATTTTCTTGGAAGTAAATTCCATCCACAGGGTTTAATGGTACTTGCTTCCAGGAAAACTTGTGTAGGTCTGCTGCCTTGGTCTGGAACTCATCCCTTCATAATGCTGATAGTGTAGGATAAAAACCAGAAGAGAGCTGCAGTTGAACTGATTTGCCTGCATCATTTTTTTGGTTTTTTTTATACAGATTTACAGATGTGAAAAATGCAAAATAGAGCTGTAATCCTATGCATACTCATTCAGGAGTGAATCTGCTTGAGCCCAATGGTTCTCAGTAACCATGCATCAATGCCCCTTAATAAAAACAGTCTCATGGAAAAAGTCATGGAGTTCAGATTATTTACTTTCTAGTAAATGGCTTATATTTGTTTTGCCATCAAATTTATGTCTGTTGCTAATTTTAACAGCTGATATTTTTAAACATCCCATTTTTACTGCTTACTCACTGTTTGTCAATTCATGTTTTAAATATCACGGTTGTGCTTCCTTTTTATTTGTGTTTTAATGAGTTGTGCATGGGTTATAGGATGTAGGTACCCCATTTCCAATATTATGAGTAAGGAGATGTATTGTGGTGCAAGACAGATGGTCTGTTGAAGGAGTAAGGGTCAGATATTTAAGAGCTTTCCCCTTATTCGTTCTGTTTCCCTCCCAAAGAAACCCAGATTGTGTTGTCAGCAAACCTTTATGCCTGGTACTGCTGTTCTTGAATGCCACCCGGGACCTGAGCCTGGATGAGGCTGTTGATCTTGCTGGAAATTGGAGACCTCTCTCTTTTGTCTAGGATAGTCAACACAGCACTCTCTAGATGCTGTTGGAACCCAACTGTCATCAGCCCCATGCAGCATCGCCAATGATCAGGGTTGCAGAGAGATATATATATATAATCTGACTGGGTTGCCCCGGCTACTCTGGGAGGCTTCCAACATCTAGAGGGTACCACATTGACTACCATTGCCATAGTCTATTTTTGATACCGTCTCACCTAGCTGGACAGAATGGCAGTTTTTAGGGACCCTTTTTGGTGTATCATCTATCCTGCTGCCCAACAGTATCCCTGCCACAGGTGATAAAAATGGCCTTGGGGCCCTCCTGATAGATATAGGTCAGGACTTCATTGTCACCAAGACAACCATGGGGTTGTTACAAGTCATCTGGGCCCTTTCACATGTAGTAGGGCACACGCTCAGTAGTTGTGATCAGTTGTATAGTGTGTGTGTGTGTGTGTGTGTGTATGCACATTTTTAACTATTTCCTTGTCATGGTTATCTGGTAACACTGGAATGGGGAACATTGGGCCTTCCAGATGTTGTTAAACTCAGGGACATCTTGAGGGCCATAGGTCACTCCCCTCTGCAGTAATTTTTAGGCTATTGATGACCTTAATGTTTTGGGAGCTAAAGGCCTTGTTCAGATTACCTTTGGCATCTGATGGATCCAATGGTTTTCAAAGTGCCCTGGGAGATTTTCTTGCTGACATGGATTGCATTTTTGCTGATACCCTGGTCAGTCTCTGGAATTTGGAGTTAATCTGGGTAATCAACCCAGGCTTTCCTAGGTGTTCTGTCCTACTGGTTAGAACCATATCAGCTCCCTTGTTTTCCAGGGAGCTTGGGAATCAGCTGGTGGATTAACTGGGATACAGATGGAGTAGAAGCTGATAAGAAGTCTGATGAAACACTGGCTAGAACCATTTAAAGGCCTACTTGGTGGTAAAGGTAGTGTGGAAAAAGAAATACTTTTCTGTTCTCTGCTAATATTGCACCTGTGCTGCCTTAGCCTAGTGGAGCTTATATAAATTATAAGACATTTTCTCCATCTCGACCCTTGGGCAGATTATCTTCAAAAACCAATTGCAGCACCCTTGGTAGACATTTTTCAGATAAAATAATTTGCTTATGCCCTATCACCAGTTATTCGGTTACAGGAATAAGCCTATATATCTAGCTGGTTAGTATCGTATGGATATATTTACGTTATGGATGTACAAGGCATGCTTGAAGAGATACTGGCTCTCACCTATCCCCCTAACTCTTGCCCATTATGGCTTACAAAAAGTAGCTGAGAGGAAGCAGGTGGGGGGGTCTGGGAGGTACCTTTGGAGGTTGGAGCAAGTTTTTCTCGCTTTGAGTGGGGTGGTCATGGAGTTATTTCTGGAGAGCCCCTCCAGCTTCACTTTTTTTGAACAATTAAGGTCTTAGCCCAATACTTTTATCTGATACTTCCCCACCTCCTGGGGCTAGGTGGATGGTTAATGTAGAGAGGGGCCTGAATTATGGACCATTCCTCTTTTTCAACTCATTGACTTGTCAATTTTAATCTGCTACTTTACTTGTTTCTTTAGAAGTGCTTTTACTATTTTATTTTTATGCCATTTGTTTTGTTTTATTTCTATGTGGTTTTCTTGGGAGCCTTAAGGCAAGTGTAAAATTCAGAATACAAATAATGGACTGCAACATAATACTCCAATTCTAAACACATTTCTTTAGTATTAAGTTCCAATGAATTTTGTGGAATGTACTGCCAACCGAGTATGCTTAGAGAGCACAGCTTGAAGCTCTAGTCATAAACAAGGGGTTTACTTGTGTTTAAATGTATAATCGCTAGTTAAATTGTGGTAAGACTAAATCATGTGTGAAAATATGTAGGTAGTTTATTTGGATGATCTGATGAACAACTATGCTACGTCACTGACACTGGGATCTTGCACTTGACTTTAAAAGTAGCCTAGTGAACAATAATGCAATCTTAATGGGGTGAAGGGCAGGCAAACAGTTCATACAGTGTTTTTTTAAAAAAACAACAACAGCACCCAACCTGAAATCCTTTGTAGTTCAAGCTGCAGGTTACACAATCTAGTTCTGTCCCATTGCATAGAGGTCAGTGGGACAAAATGGTTAAGTACATGTACTTCAAATAAGTGACTTGTGTTTTACTTTTGTCATTTGTTCAATTCAGAAGCAGGAGCACATGCTATTGTTTGCCAGCCAATTTAGCAACCAGAATTTCGGATTTATGGATTGAAAGGTTGATTGATTTAGCTTATATACGCCTTCATATTTCAACAGAAACCTCTAAGTGGTTTAACATATCCCAACGACAACAAAAAACAAATATAAAATATAATACGAATTCCACATTCATAATTCCACATACTACTACTCCCACATTTCAAGTAACACAATTAAGTAACGATAAATATCTTGAACAATGTACATAGTACATAGTAAAATAAATATGAACTGCAATCACACTCTCCTTACACTCACCATATCACTCTAGGCACACAATTCTCACTTCAATTTTTTTTTAAAAAATTAACTAACCAATAAGCAGATGCAGAAAAACAAATCAATCAAATAAGAGCAATGCAACAACAACTCCCCATCCCAAAACCACTAATTTCCATCCAGTTCTTGGAATTAACTAGTTTATTTGAACAAAGTTCACTACATACTTTAAACATCTCTGAACTTCACTTGAAAGTAGTTCCAACAATTGCTGGGTGAATGAAAGGTTCATTTTGGTGTAAAATTATGAACAATTCATGTTTGTTCCCTCCCTCCTATCCTAGATTTCATTTTAAACAAAAAGTAAGTCAATCAGACATATATAAAAAAGTTAGTAAACTGTGGAATAAATGTTCTAAGGCTTATTAGGTTGATATGGAGGTGCTGCTGTTGCTAAGGTTCCTTAGCGACTTAATCACCATGGTTAAGCAACCAACAGGAAGGAACATGAGGCATTTCCTGTATTTTCCTTGCTGAAGAATTTCGCTGTCCTCCAATACTGGCACAAAGTGCAGGAACCAAGTGCATGATGCCTTGTGCCATTAACAGCTGTGTGGCAAGCAAAAATTAAACAGGGTTAGCCTTTTCTGGCATGGAAGTACAATTTTAGGGGAAGCATCACCTGTTAATATTCTGTCTGTCAAACATTTTATTATATGATTATGCTCCCAATTTACTTTTAGACCCTTTACTTCATCACAGCAGCTTGTAACATTCTGAATGCGCAAGACAAACTTTTTATGAACTAAAAAGTTAATTTGGATAAACTTGAACTGAACTACCGTATTTTTCAGTGTATAAGACTAGGGTTTTTTTAGGTTTAAAATTGGGGCTCGTCTTCTACATGGGTAGTGCTGAGGGGTGTTTTCTTAATTTGGAGTCCCCCAAAATAGGGAGCATCTTATACATGGGAGTGTCTTATACATGGAAAAATACAGTAGTTCATTTTGTAGAAGGACAAACTTAATCTGGAACCAGCTCTTTTTAGACAGGATGAACTTGAACTCAAACTGCTTCCTTTTTGGAGTGAACTTTCCAAGCACCGTTTCCACCCAGTTTTTCACCAAGGAAATGCCCCTCTTTTCACCTAGGGAGTTAAGGACATTCCCCATAAACAGACTCTCTCCCTGCAGGGAGTCTGGCACAGCCACTAGCACGCCTAATGCTTACCACCTTGCAGGGGGCATCCCTGTCAGATAAATATAAAAACAAACTCCCTTCAAGAATAATAATACTCTAAGAACAACACAGAAGAGGGTAGTACCCTTGCTCTTATGACAACCCCAAAGTGAAAACCCAAAAAGGATTATCCCCTTTGGTGTCACCCTTTTGGATCTAACCCCTGCCCACTAGGGTTGCCCAACCACATTATGGTGCCTTGCTTTTTTATATCTATGTGCATCAAATGCATAGGCATAGCCAGAGGGTGCGGGGGGGGGGCAGCTGCCCACCTAAATCAAGTAAATAAATAAAAATACTTAACTAACTAACCAACCAACCAACCAACCAGGTCACAGATAGCTCAGTTCTGCCCCCCCCCAAACCAAAGTCCTGCCCCCTAACATAAATCCTGGAGCAAATGATGATCAGTTGCTTAAAATCTTGTCGACCACTGTCACACCTTCAAGAGAGTATTAATAAATGAAATATTTTTAATTAAAAAAACCCTGAACTAAAGTTTTAAAAAACAGCAACATTAGAAATAAATGTATTCTACAACAAAAGCCTTTCAAGTAAATGTTATGGCACTTTGAACAGTCAAACTTATATCTGCCTCATGTGTTATCTTTTAGATGTCAGGTAAAGTTTGTGTTTCTATGGACTGCTGGTGTTCGATTTGTTTATAGTTTAGGCTGTTTGGTTCAATTTGTAGAGTTAATTTTACCACTTTTCTCATCATGGAATCGTAGTGAAAGGGAAAAAGTACCTAGTGGTATCTTCCCCTCTATGCAGCTTCATGTATTGTCCCCAATCCATGTCATTTTGCTCAGTGTCGTATATAATGATGGGTAGGAAACCTGTGACCCTCAGAGTATTGGTGGCCACAGCTGGTGATACTTAGGTACACTGACTTAATGTTTCTGAAAGGAAAGCTTGGCAAGCAGTCGTTAGCGGAGGAAGAGGAGTGTGGGGGGGAGCGCACGGCTCCCGGCAGCGTGATCCCGGTAGGGTGCCATCGCGGCTGCCCCCGCCCTCACTGGGTGCCACACCCCTGCAGATGGCATGCCCCGCCCCGCCCCTGCCTGCTCTCCGCCACTGCAAGCAGTTGGTAAATCTGGAAAACATCCAGCTACAGCCAGCATGCAGACTGAGTGTTCTGTTTCCCAAGACATCTGTCATAGTAGTTCCATGAATAAATCTCAACTGAGTTTAGCTATAGAAAGTCTTGTGTGAAAACTGTAACAATGCAGTTGTAGGCATGTTTATTCAAGTGTAAGTCCCACCGACTTTAATGAATAAAAGTCCTCTGGGTTACAGCAGAGACCCTACAATGAGACCCTATATTTTCCTTTCAATGTTTTCTTTAGAAACATTTATATAAGCAATGCTTTAAATGTCAAACCATATTTTAACTTTAAAAAACCCCAAACTAGGAGTGCCATTTCGAATCCCCATGACGGGGTGAGCTCCCGTTGCTCGGTCCCTGCTCCTGCCAACCTAGCAGTTCGAAAGCACGTCAAAGTGCAAGTAGATAAATAGGTAGCGCTCCGGCGGGAAGGTAAATGGCATTTCCGTGCACTGCTCTGGTTCGCCAGAAGCGGCTTAGTCATGCTGGCCACATGACCTGGAAGCTGTACGCCACAACCCCAGAGTCTGTCACGGCTGAACCTAATGGTCAGGGGTCCCTTTACCTTTACCTAAAACCAAAGATTCTTATGGAAATAGAACATACTTCCTGTTTTCTTCCTTTTAGCCTACCTAAACAAGCCATTGCCTTAAAAAAAAGACAGAAAGAGTGGGCAGAGTACTGTTGCACTCAAGCCCTGCTTTCGAACTTCCCACAGGCATCTTGCTAGCCACTGTGAAGATGCTGGACTGGATGGCCCATTGGCTTGATTCAGTAGGCTTTCCTTTTGTTCTCAAGTAGAAAGCAGAGTGCAGTCAGATGGTGTTATCATATTTGCCGAGTCCGTGCTTTTGCTTATTCAGGGATCCTTCCCTTCTGAACCTTTGGAACCGCTTCTAGATGTTGGTGAAAAGAGGCAACAGACTCTGCTCCTTACTTGATGTGCATACTTCAAAGCTTCTGCAAGAAGGGCTTGCCCATTCCTGGCCCACTACTCTTCTCCCTCACTGCCCTAGCTAGGGCTTCCTCTCCTTTCCTTGAGGAGCTTCTTCCATGAGGAAGAGATTAGAAGGCTGCCTGTCGTAGAGTGTGCCTTGGTGCGAAGGCAGTGTTACGTTAAGCCAGGCATCCCCAAACTCGTCCCTCCGGACACCCATGATCCCTAGCTAACAGGACCAGTGATCAGGGATGATGGGAACTGTAGTCCCAAAACATCTGGAGCGCCGAGTTTGCCTATGCCTGTGCTAAGCCCTGCACCGCAATGATTTTTTCCCCCATTTTGACTGGCTGAAATGAACTAGGAACAGCACAGCTCCATAATACAGCATGGTTTAATTGAACATCTCTACTTTTTGCCTGGTTACCAGGCATTGTAGTGCCTGATTAATTGGGGCCATTAAAAACAAACAAACCGTATGGTGAGGATTAAAAAGAAAGATGGGGGTCATAGCTTCATCTTAAAGCACTTGCCTTTAAAGGTACCAGATTCAATTCCCAGTCTCTCCTGGTAGAGGAGAGAAAGATCCTTGTTTAAAACCCTGGAGCTGCACCCAGCCAATGTAGACAATCCTGAGCTACGTGGACAAGTGATCTGACTTGGTATAAATCAGTTGCCTAGGTAATACCAACCAAATGTTGTTGGCCCCAGTCAAAATGCATACTAAAAACGTCCACACAGTTGTTGTTTTTAACTTGGGTAGCTGTTGTCTCTCTCCATCACAACAAGCATCAGAGATGAACATTGCTGGAGACCTGCCAAGGCCTGTGTCTCAGCAGAGAACCCCTTGACCCTCAATTGCTCTCAAAAGCCTGTTTATCTGTGCTCTGTAAGTGAGGGAGCCATGACAGCAGCAGCAGCACCAGGAGGAGCTTCTGCTTACATTATCCTCTTCCTTTGGACTGCTCTGCATATTGGACCCAGAAGAAGAGTCCAAGAGAATAGGCAATGGAGATAGAGGCAAGGTGGGTCCATTCAAGGTGGCGGGAACTGATGGGTCTTGCCTGGGGATACCACCCACAAGCTGGAATTGGCACTCCTCCCCTTGTTACATGGGATCTTGCTTTCTCCAATTCTCCATTTTTTTCCTGTTGTCATTCCCACTGAGTTCCTTAGTTAATGTTTTTAGGACTGTGCCCTTGACTGTCTGTTTACAGCTTTACGAGATACTTATACCAACTGCTGGGGCTGCATGAGAAGTATGGCATGTAACTTTTCCCCACTGGAGACGATGTACTAGCTAGATTGCAAAATGATGCTATCAATCAGTCCCTCTAATAACAAACTCGAGTGTTGACTGCTGATGGAAGTGGAGCCAAAACAGGAAAACTGGGAAATAAGAAGGGTGATATCAGTATGTCCAGGGGAACTACAGGGTTTGCAGAAGCACAAAGATGGTTTTAGGAACCCCCAAAACCTAAGAAGAGAACTGCAACTAAAAGGGAAAAGCCCATTGAGTACTGAGCAGACTTAATGGCCACAGATGGTTCAGTGTTGTAACAGTGGAAAAGAGAAAAGAAAGAATAAAAATATAAAATGAAGGGAGGGGGCATGGAATGGTCTCCTGGGGGAGGCCATGGCCAGCTGGAACCCCAATAAGGACTACTCCTGCTAGGGGACAAGTAGACATTGCAACATTTGATTGCAGATCTCACATAGGTATAATTTTAAAGCACAGTAGCGAAAGAAGGCATCTTTCCAACTCTGGAATGGGTTTGCTTCAGTGCCATGAAGATTGCATGCTACTCCAGTTGTGGAGTGAACTGTGTACTTACCTGGTGATAATTCGTTGAGTCTTTCTTTGATATGCATTGTACATCCATTTGATCTTTTTTAAAAAAAAATTCACCCCAAATTCTTTCACATTAAGTGATCAGTCCACTGCTGTGAAATAATTCCCTCCCACCACCCCCGCCTGAGACTGATAGTGGAGAAAGCTGTTACAAAAGTCATTTTGATGGCTGGTTATTCTAGCTGCATACACTTTGAATAGAACGTTTTGTGTCTTGGAACAGAATCCAGCTGTCTGTCTACTTGGCACAGCTTGTGACCAGGAACACATTCTACCAGTTCTTTGAAAACCAGAACATTGGTTTCTGAGTGCAATTCAGGAATTTTGTTTCAGTTTCCCCTCCCCACCCTACCCGAAAGTTCTCTGTGATTGATCGTGACTCTTTAACAATTCCCCACCCCCCCCACCCCCAATGTTAAGGACAGCCGAGAGAGCTGATTGAAATAGCATTATCTGGCTTGGGCTTTGTTTTGCTTTTGAGTCTGGAATCTGTTTAATCTATGCGGCACAGCAACAAAAGGCAGGCTTTGCTGAAATTTAGTACAATACCTTGCATTTAATACATAATCTACATAGAGCAATTGGGATCTATGAAATTTTAAACAAAGGTTATCACTAGGGTCTCTTCCCTTCTGCAGGTGGAATCACCTGGAAAAGACACCTCTAATACAGATCTTAATGTATTCTTATCCACTCTTATTCTTCTTCCTGGTGAACTTTTGCAAGCTAGAAGACAAGAGCAGCCTGCCTGTAAAGGTTTCCTTGTTTATTTAATTTGTCACCTCACCCCATCCTGAAGCGATCCAAATTCACAGATGGCTCCTGTCTCCCTTACAAACACTGTCTTGCACACTAGCTGATAAGTCTGTGTTCATAACCTCAGTGTGATTCGCAACTAGCTGTAGTGTTGCTACTGCCACTGATGCCAAATGGGGATAAGGGGAGGGGGCCGACTCTGGGAATAAAGGTAAGGGGTGAAAGGATAAAGCAACTTGCGAGCCAGCTGTTCTCCTGGAATGTCTAGCGAATGCTATTTACAACTTGCCTCAGGGTGATGATGGGCTACACAATGAACTTAATTTCTGAGTTTGTAATAAATATTTCATTCATGTAAAAGGATAGGCACTCAAGTCTTCACAGGGGGTTAAGGAGACCCTTGAGGATGTGGAAGAGTTACTGGGGAGGAGGTCATGCATTGCTGGGATTCTGGTACCTCTGGTGGTTTGGGGTTTGGAGGGGTCAAAGACCTGCTATTATTTCTGTAGCAGAGTCCTGTCTCCAGCATTCTAGAGCTGCCTAATTAGCATGAAAGGGGAGCTTTTTAGCCACAGTATGCTCCAAAGATTGCAAGAAAAATGAAAACACAAGGCACTTGAGTTTCAAGAGAATAGCATGAAGGCAGCAGTGTACCTAGGGGTTGGCTAGGTTGGCCCCTGCCAAGGGTGCAAGCCCAGGGGGGTGCAAAAATCTCACCTCTCCACTCTGGCTCAGAGTTGCTTTGAGCCTGCCCACTCACCCAGGCAGAAGGATCAATGGAGGAGGAGGAGGAGGAGGAGGAGGAGGGGAAGGAGAGGCGGAGCAGAGCAGACATGACCCCGATGGCTGCAGAGGAAAGGTGCCATAGCACAAAGTTTTGGAATTTCTGGTCCATGGTCTCTCCAAGCTTTAGAGGAGCCAATGCAGCTCCTTGCCAAGGGTGCAAGGGACCCTAGGCATGCGTCTGTGTGTGGGTTCTGTTATGTACAATGGAACTTCATGGAAAACACAACTTAAGTCACTCTGAAATAAGGAATTTGCCCTTGTATGTGCACAGAAAATAGTAGATATTGCTGAAAGGCAACATTGATCACAGTGATGCATCCCTAATTGTTATTGTATAATTATCAGATGATTGTATAATCTTAGAATGGGTGTGACAGTCATGAAGGGACCCTGAACTTTGCATTTGCCTCTGCACTACTGTCTGCAACACTCCTGTTGGGATGGAAACTCCCACCCACAGCTACACTTTATCAGAAGATGGTAAGAAGCAGCTGTCCTCCTGATTCATGTGTAGTGAAGTGGTCCTGTTACCCAGTCTTCTGCTCAGGGAGTAGCATATAACAAATACAATCTATATAAAAGAAAATGCAAACTTAAAACCATGCAATCTAAAAGCAGCGTTGTAGATAAAAATAGCAGCAGAAATTTTTATTTTATTTATTATGTGCACCTTCACCTGATGGTCCCAGGGCAGAGAATACATACATGTACTAAACCCAAAAATTCACAATATAAAACTAAACAGAATGCATGCACATCATTAGTCAATATTTGCCACACCCACCAAACACCTTTTGGTACTAATAGCCCCTTGTGATGAGGAACAAATGTGGCTTTAATGCTGTGGTCCTAGGAGCTGTTTTGTGACGCTATTATTGTGTAAGTTTGGTCACTGAAACTAACCTTTCTGTCTTTCTTTCTGTTGGTACCTGCTGGCAGGGAGCTAGTAGAAAACAAGATTCCTACCACTACTTATATATGAAGGTCCCCATTGCATATATCATCAGTAGGCATGCATGAAAGGATTGGAAAAGAAAAGAAGAAGAATTATTTTAAGGGATCTCATACTCCCCCCCTCCTCCAATTTGCCCCAATATAAGCCACACCTTTAAAATTCAAGGGGGGGGGGAGAAAAAAAGACAATACCTGAATATAAACCGTTCGCTTAAAATTCCACAGGCACTCACACCCGTTCCATTTTACCATGTGTCTGTTTCAGCAGCTATATCATAAAAGCCAGTTTTTGTAAGGTTGCGAATTTAAGCCACGCTTTAACTTTTCACGGTTGGAATTTGGAAAAAAAAGTGAGGCTTATATTCAGGCCAATACGGTAAGTTTCACCCTCATTTCCTGGTTCTGAGACTAGCAGCTGCTTTGGCACTCAGCTTTTTATTGTTGGGCGCAGTCACATCAACCTTTTGATGGGTTCTGTTGCCTTTTGTGCCCTGTATTCTGCCATCAGACTGAGATAGCCATTATATTCCTTGCAAAGAGAAAGGTGCACGTTGTACTCCTCGCACAAAGAAAAGCTGCAATCTCTAAAATGTAGAAGGCTTTGATAAAGAGGATGGTCCCTCTACCACAACCGGTCACCACCAAGATCATCCAGCAGTTTCATGGAGATTTTCTTGATTGGTGGTAATCTAAGTGCTTGCTTAGATTACAGCCATGAGAGACAATGCCTGGGACCAATTTAAAGTGTTCTCTCTCTTTTTCCAATAGAGACCCTTTTTAAACAACAGCTGTGTGATTAAAGAAAAATTGACGGACAAAGGTACCGTAATTTTGTATTTATCTTTTTGTAAATTGCTTTGAGGTTTTTGTTTTGTTTTTTTACAATCAAGTGGTATATACCGGTAAATACATGTCAGTAAAGGGCTTAATAACTTGAACTAGGCATTTGTGAGAAGCATAGCCCAAAGTTAGGAAATAACTTTGACTCACTTTTATGAATAAATCCGCACCTATTGAATATCTGCCTGTTCCACATGTGTTAAAATCACAGTGGCTCCACCAGGGAAGAAGCAGCAACCCCAGGGTGCATAGTAAGAATAGCTGTTGCAACAGCTCAGTGTTAGGACCTGTGTTTAGTGCCAGGTTGAGCTCTGCCTTATATAAGGTGAGTTACTGTTATTTGCACCAGTATTGTGCTTGCTAAAGAAAATGAATATCTAGTCTCATCTTAATTCATGCAAAAAACCCCCAAAACCATAGATAACCATATCAAGTGACGGAAGTAACCCACAATATGGCAATATATTGGGACCGACCAAAATGTTACAAAAACCTGAAAGCTATTTTGTTATGCTTTGGTTAGTCCCAGTGATTATGTTTCCCTGTTGTGAATTCTGCATTTATTCAAACTGGGCTACCCCTAAATTTTGTGCAGCAGTACTGTAAGTTCTGTATATTCTAGAGATTTAGGGTTTGCCAACTTTGTTACTGGGCCTCTTCCTTTAACAGAAGCTAGGGTTGGGGGAGAAATCGAATATAATTCACATTTAAAGGTGAACCTACCTAATCTGCACTTTCTGAAACAGATACGCAGTCTGGAACACAGGCATCCTTCTAAATTTGCACGTCTCTGAATTTTGCAATGCAGTTCTCCAGCCAAGTAAAGAGTACAAAAATCCATATCCCTCAACATGGTGTCCTTCATGTGTTTTGTACTCCCATCAGCTCCAGCCAGCTTGGAAAACTGGGAGTTGAAGTCCATAATTTGAGGACACCAGATTGGGGGGAGATGACCTAGAGGACCTGGATGATAATTCCAGGTGTGGGTTGCAATGGAGAGAAAAAAATGCAATACAGTACAGTGGTACCTCGGGTTACATACGCTTCAGGTTACATACTCTACTAACTCAGAAATAGTGCTTCAGGTTAAGAACTTTGCTTCAGGATGAGAACAGAAATCGTGCTCCAGTGGTGCAGCGGCAGCGGGAGGCCCCATTAGCTAAAGTGGTGCTTCAGGTTAAGAACAGTTTCAGGTTAGGTACGGACCTCCAGAACGAATTAAATACTTAACCCGAGGTACCACTGTATGTACGTTTCATCAGCACTCATCTATTTTATGTTTTCACTATTCTCATACTGAATTCCCTATTCTCTAGTACAGTGGTACCTCGGGTTACATATGCTTCAGGTTACATACGCTTCAGGTTACAGACTCCGCTAACCCAGAAATAGTATCTCGGGTTAAGAACTTTGCTTCAGGATGAGAACAGAAATCACGCGGTGGCGCGGCAGCAGCGGGAGGCCTCATTAGCTAAAGTGGTGTTTCAGGTTAAGAACAGTTTCAGGTTAAGAACGGACCTCCGGAACGAATTAAGTACATAACCAGAGGTACCACTGTACTGAAAATATTCTAGTGTTTGACAATAGTGGTGACCTCTTTTTATTAATGAAACAAAGCCTCTTTTTATTATCTGCATATGTTTCTTGAGAAGGAGTCGTCGGCTGCATAGTTGGGGCATGTTCTGCTTACCGCAGTCTCCACACAGATCTGCAGTTGTCTTTAAACCAGGATAGCTGCCAAATTGCTACGGCAGTGAAGGGATTTCCAGATGCTCCATACTCTCTCCTTCCACGGTTCTTGGTTCTGTGCGTGGCTAATTCTTATCTGCTTACTGTGAACTGCATCCAAAACATGAATATATGTTCAGTTTTACAAGCTGATTCTGAAGGTTCTTGTGTGGAGGCCAGCCCTTTTGATGTCAGCCGCACTTATCTCCAAGTAAGCATCCTTAAGACTGCAGCCTTAGCTGACTGTCTTGCTCCCTATCCTCAGTTCTGAGACTGACCTTCACCATTTCCGAGCGCAAATTGTGAGTTCTGAGTAACTCTGTATAATGTCAGGAAAGAGAACAGCTGCTTATCAGGAGAATTGGATTACATGTGCGACATTGAAATAGGTGAGTGGGAGGTTGCCTTCAGCCATTAATGACATAAAAAAGAGCATATGGAGGGAAAATTGGTGTAGTTTGCTGATGAGATTTGGGGAAATATATATAAAAGACTTCTAATTCCCCATCCAGGTTGTAACTGTTACAATACAAATGGTAATGGTGAGTGACTTACTGCTGTGGCAATTAAATGACGACATCTAAGGACACATTGGATGGGATCCAAAGAGTCTTTATAACTGCAAGAATGCTTATTTTGTTTATTTAGCATTTCTGTACCATTTATCTGCAGTTTTCAAAGGAAAATCCAAGTGCTACTCAAAATAGAAAAGTTGCAACAATAATTTTAAAAAACCCCACTTTCAACAAGCAATAAAACTTCACAAGTAAACTGAAAAACATTGTTTTTTAAGAGCAGGTGTTGATATTGAAAAGCACAGGAGATAAGGTCAAACCCTTGCTGTGCCACACAAGACAAAGACTAGTGGGGTGGAGCTGCCATCCTAAAGTGCTCTCTTTTGATAGCAGTCCAGCAACTGGGAACAGATGGACTGCCAGACAGTTCCATATACTCCTGAAGAATTTGATGATCAGTTTCATCAAAAACCACTGAAAGGTCCAGAAGAGTGAACAATTTCTTCCCCTCTGTTTCTGTCTCCGTCTGTCTTTGTCTGTTTCTCTTCTCTCTCTCTCTCTCTCTCTCTCTCTCTCTCTCTCTCTCTCTCTCTCTCTCTCACACACACACACACACACACACACCAGTTTGTGCATAGGGACAAAACAATGTGGCTTCTCACTTTAGCTCAGTTCTAAACCCTGACTGGACTGAGTCTAGAAAATCCATCCAATACGAGGATTACTTGTACTGTCCGCTTGATCATTTTCTTCAAGAGAGAGGCAAACTTGACCCTAGCTTATAGTTTTCAGCAGCAGGCAGATTGCTGCAGACAAACCTGTCTCAACAGGTTACTTTCCGTTGTTGAAATCAGTGGTTTTCAACCCTTTTTTCGTTGAGGGAACCCATTTAACAGGAAAAGTAACTTGGTGAAAGAAATTGGAGGTGGCATGACTTCTCAAGACACAGAGACAAAAAAGAATACGTAATGATACATTTAATGAGAACAGCAGAACATTTTCTTTCTGTGGTTTAGGAGCAAAGTAGAAGAAACGTATAGAGTAAGTTTTGCATCATGAAGCTGTTAGGCACCAGGTCTTTTCCAAATGAAATAAGAAGATACACTGGTGATTTGGGTCATTAACTTGGAAATCCATGTAGGATGCCATATTTTGGATTTCCCAAAGACTGGCTACATGGTACATAGGAAACCTTGAGTTGGCGAGGCTCATCTGACTGCAGCAGGAAACCAAGCCTTTAATGTTGTCGGCCTGGTCCTGGGGAATGTTGTGCCAGTAGAGATTCAGCAGTTGCTTCCTGTTTTGGCCTTTAAATGTCTGCAGAAAACATTTGTATGCCACCTAGCTTCCGCACTCAATTAAGGAATTACTGTAATGCCAGCTGATCTCAGATTTTAAATTTTACATGCTTTCTATTGTATATGTGTATGGTTGTTGCAAACTGTTTATATGTTTTTTAATTAAAAGCAGTATGCAAATACTTTTAATGAATGAATGAATGAATGAATAGACAGTTCCCTGCCTCATAGGCCAGAATGTGGGTTAGACAAGCTTGAATAATGAGCTTGTTGTGCCTTTTAGGAACAAGAAAGGAGGAAGAGAGTTGTAGCAAAAAAAAAATATTCCTTGTGAGTGAGTGAGTGTTTTAAGAAAATAATATTTCTTAGGTTCAGATGTCTGTATCAGTTTGAGTGCAGTTTCTTTCCTTAATATGTATGCAATCAGGGCCATATCACAATTACAATACACATTTAGAATTGTGGTTTGTGCTTATGGTTTTAACTCTTATTTGGGATCAGTTCAAAGTGCTGGAGAACCTGTGTTGAGAAAGCATGTGGTTCAGGGAAGCCATTACACAATTAAAAAGGAAGTAAGTCAGGTGGGTCTATAAATTAAATGCAGTAGTTCTAAATGGATTTAATGAAAAAATTAGAATGGACGTTTGTTATGTAGGAAACTGAAAATGTATGCTCATTGAGAATAATGTTAGTAAATGTCTTGCCATTGTTGATTTTATGCTGTATTAATACATATGTATACTGAATACAAGTTAATGTAAGTTTTTTCAGAAGCCATGGAATGGCTAAGCAATGCAGTTGTACACCTGATTACAATTGTGAAATCAGGTGTGCATGTTGTGTTAGGTATAATAACCTCAGCAGAACCTTTGCATGATCTTACAGGACCTATCAAATTCCATGTTTGTACGTTGCTGAGTGTGTTGCGAATATGTGTGAATACAAAAAATGATTCTTTTAAATATGATTTTAATATACTTTTCTTAACTGGTGATACTGTAAATTATTGCAAGCTGAAGACACTGGCTATCTTGAGATAAATGGTGAGCAAATTATTATTTTAAGTTTTAAGTATTGTGAAGATAAATGGTCAATTTGTTCATTTTATTTTTTAATACAACTGTTTATTTTTGTATGTAGAACTTATGCATAAGGAACTGCTGTACAGGAATACATGCCCCTGAGAGAAGCAGACCAAGCTGAAACACATCTGGCATTCCAGGTATTCAACAAACATCATTGAAGAATATTGAGAAAATTAACAAGCTATGCTGAGTTTTTCAGTCTTAGTCCTGTCATTATGTTTTTTGCACATACTGTGACTACATTATTATATTTTTACAGTTCATCTTTTTAGCAATCTGAAATTTGTTTCCTATAGCTTTTGTTTAAAAGTTGTACATCCTTAGTTGTTGTTTTTAATTGTATCCTTTTTATTTTTTTCATCATACAGTTTAACTTTTTTGAATTGTTTGTATTCCATAAGCACTCGTAGGCATTATAGCCACCAGGTTTAGTCTATAAATTGGTTGACACGATAGCATATTTACAGTTCATAGTTTGTTTGCTTTGCCTTTTGTTTCTGTTTCTCACCTTAAAAAGGGGGGCTGGCCACATGACCCAGAAAAACTGTCTGCGGACAAACATTGGCTCCCTCGGCCAGTAAAGTGAGATGAGCACCGCAATCCCAGAGTCGTTCACAACTGGATTTAACTGTCAGGGGTCCTTTACCTTTAAGAAGCCATAAATGAGTTGAGACCAGGCTGTTTAAAACACTGTCTCTTGTCATATGAACTCGCCCAAATGCTTCAATTGGCAGCAAAGACCCTCCCATCCCCAGCTGGGGCACAGTGAGTGGGCATACAAGAGGACCTTTTCAGTGCTGATACCATGGCTTTGGAAATCCCTGGAGAGGCAACTAATCTCCTTTTTGCCTTTCAATGAGAAGTGAAGATGCTGCTGTCCATGTGGGTATTGGTTCATTGTTTGTTTCTAAATGTAGAGCCTTCTTAGGAATTAGTTTAAATTTAATGACTTCTATGCTCTCTTTGTTGATTGGAGTGATAATTGCTCCTGCTTTGTTTTTAGCTGTGTTTTATTTATTTTTTTATATTGCTTTGTTGGGTGTCTTTTATGATTGCTCGGTGCTTTGAAGGTCCCATTTTTGGGATGTGAAAGAAGTTGCATTATATGATGATATAAAAGCCTTGTCAAACTGATTTTTTCATAATGACTTTCTTATATAGTGGTTTTGAATGTGTGACAGCTTCTCCCTGCCCCCTTCCCCCCTCCAGCTGTATCTGGTGCTGTTGCAATGTGTGGGAGGCAATGTGAACCAGTGGTTAGATTACATATTCCCTATAATATTTCTGTGGAGTCAAGATTATAGCTCGTTTTAAACGTAATTCTTCACTGAAATTTCCTCTGCCACTTGCTGAATTGCAATTTGCACAGCTGCTGCAGATCAAAGTTGGCGGAGGAGTATGTGCTTGGAGTTGTTTTGGGAAATCACCCGTTTAAGTTGACATGAGGCTTGGAAACTATTCAAATGTGGTGAGAAGGCATCTCATGCTGCTCGCAGCATCATCAAACGCAGGAAGTCAGGAAGTGGGCTGGAGTAACATATAGAAAGAAAAGGAAAATAGTCTTATTGTGAAAGTTCCCTTCTGTACAGTTACTGGGAGAGCCAACAGGAAAGAGTCTGTTTCTACTACAGTGGTACCTTGGTTTAAGAACAGCTTAGTTTATGAACAACTTGGATTAAGAACGCTGCAAACCCGGAAGTAAGTGTTTTGGTTTGTGAACTTTGCCTTGGAAGCAGAACATGTTTCGCTTTCTGTTGAGTGTGTTCCATTTGTAAATTGAGTCCCCCGCTGCTATGGGAAAGCACACCTTGGTTTAAGAACACTTTGGTTTAAGAACGGACTTCCGGAACGGATTAAGTTCGTAAACCAAGGTACCACTGTACTACTCAGAACACAGAATGAAACAACCTGAGTATTCTCTTTTAGTGCAGAATTACCTCCCACTCTCGGACATAGTTGTAGCTGGTTAACTAAGGAAGGGGACCAACCCCTCCCAAATGAACAACAGTTTAGATCAAAACAGATAACATGTGAATACGGGAATCCACAAGTGTACTGTGGCTAGCCCATCCTTAGTGGGGTACTGTGATAATGCCTCTTACACATCACAAAGAAACAGGTGGATACTCCTGTGTGGGTCTACAGCAGCCTCCCCCAACCTGATGCCCTCCTGATGTTTTGGACTACAGTGCTGGCTGTGACTGATGGGAGATGTACTCCAAAACACCAGAGGGCACCAGACTGGGGGAGGCTGATCTGCAGGTTGCCTTACCAACTGCATAAGACAGTCAATGCTTGTGAAGCAAAGCTCACTTATTACTTTTATGCAGCCTGAACCTAGGCATGTGCAGTGGCATAGTTAGCCGCCTGGGTGCCTGGGGTGATGTGTGCGCCCTGTGCCCGGGGGCAGAGCAAGCTGCCCATGGGGTGGGGTCACCTGGGCAGGGCACAATGCAGAGACTCCCCCTCAGCTGTAGGGCGGTTGAGGGGGAGGCAATGGGTAGACGCAAGCCCCACGCTGCCGTTTCGGGCAGAGCATGCAGGCACCCGAGCCACCATGTCAGTCCCAGAAGAGATGTGTGGCTAGGGCAAGCTGCAGGCCCTGCGGTAAGTGCTGCCCCCCACGATGTGGCACCCAGTGCGCTCTGTCCCCCCCCCCCAAACTATGCCTTTGGTCATGTGTACTCAGGAGCAAGCCTTACTGGGCTTGGAGGAATTTAGTTCCAAATACGGAATGTATAAGAACCCAGTCATAGTGTTTGAACACATCGTTACTTAGGCTATGTTGTCATATTTGAGGCTTTTTCTGCATGCTGTTCTTATCTGGGATTTGGCTGTTTAGAAATAACCGTGGGTTTATTTAGATAGTTTATTTAAGAAGTAGAGTGGTTTGCTTTGCATAAAATGCTTTATTATTTGACAATAAACTGTTAGGAGTTGCTTGCTTAGCGTCTTCATTTCACTAGCACTTGCCAAAGTACGTTGCTGCAGCTGCTGTGTGCAAAAGTGGGTGTGTAACGATGTGGAAAAATCAGATTGCAAAGCAGTGCGCATTGACTGCAGACAACTGATGAGAAGAGTGGTCTCTCTTAATAGTTATCTAATACCTTCAGTGAGAACTTTATTGTTTGATCAGACCAAGGTCCATCTAGTTCAGCATTGTGTGTTTCTACCAGGGGCCAGTCAGACCTGCAGGAAACTCAGGACAGGAGGATGATAGCTATGCTCTGTTGTTTCTCCCCAGGAGCTGGCATGCAAAGTTATGCTACTCTATACCTGGAGGTTTCATTTAGCTTTCATGGTGGGGGCTGAACCTTGGGTAGAGTACAGTAGTGAACAATGTGTACATGTATTATTTGCCACTTCAGCTCTGTGAGTCTACATGTATGTGTGCGTGCGTGCACAATGAGAGATGGAGGGTTTGTCCCATTTCTGGAGCCCTAGAATATATGCACCAGAAACAGCGACTTGTTGCCACACCCAGTACGGCAAAAGTACCATTACCACCTGTGCATGACTTGTCCTGCTCTTTGTCTGCTTGGAACTATACAAACTTCAATTAGTAAAGGCACAGAAGGGCTCAATGGTCAAGCTGTGGATTTCTTCCATCATTTATTAGAATTGCATTTTAGCTTGTTTTGTTGCATTTTATCATAGATATCTTTGACATTGAAAGGCAGGATATAAATATCAAAAATAAATTTCTGGCTAAAATGAGACTGATTACAGTGGTACCTCGGGTTACATACACTTCAGGTTACAGACTCCGCTAACCTAGAAATAGTACCTCGGGTTAAGAACTTTGCTTCCGGATGAGAACAGAAATCATGCTTTGGTGGCGCAGCAGCAGCAGCGGGAGGCTCCATTAGCTAAAGTGGTACTTCAGGTTAAGAACAGTTTCAGGTTAAGAATGGACCTCCGGAATGAATTAAGTACTTAACCCAAGGTACCACTGTATAGAATCCTAGAGTCGGGGGCAGCCTTTCTGGTCCAGCCCTATGGTTGATGACTGAAATCTAGTGCTAGGGAGTCCCTAAAAGATGGGTATTCAACATCTGCTTAAAGACCTCTAGTGCGGGTTGGCCCACTACCCCTCTAGGTAAATACCGTAGTTCATTTACTGAACTGCCCTAGCATCAAGGCATTTCTCCTACTAGTCGGTCAACATCTTCATTCCTGTAACTTTCTTCCTTGTTGTAGTCCTTCCCTTTGGGGCAGCAGAAAATACATGGCCTGTCAAATGTTTTGAAGTAGAGTGCTCTAAAGACCTCCTCTCACAAATTCTGTTTTCTAGCTGAAACATACCGAATATACTTCAGCCTTTCCTTGTTTGCCAAAGCTTTGACCATCGTCATTGCCCTTCCCGGAACCCTTTCCAGTTTGTCATCCTCTGGGGTAGAGAGCCCCTTTGAGCCAGAGGGCTGCAATCCCTTGTGGTTGGATTCCAATGGAGAGTGGTAGCCAGAGGCAAAAGGTGGACAGAGCAAAGGATGCAACTCTTACCTTTGCAAGACTACATTCCAGGCATGTGAAACTCGGAGGTTTATACACCCCCACACCCTATATATCATCCACCCAGGCAAGCAAGAGGCATAATCACAGTTCAAGAACACATTCCAACTAGGAAAAAGTACTCAAGGTGGGAACAGATCAGGGACAGTGAAGGGGGGGCTGAGGAAGGGGGGACTTGGCCTAGAGACAGTCCTGAGGGCTGTAGATAGTCATGAGGAGGCTTCATTTCGCTCCTGGGCCTGAGGTCCCCCCCACCCCAAATATACTTTCTCCTCAAAGCAGAGTGCCCAGCACTGTATGTAGTCCAGATGAGGTCTGACTATTGTTGTTCTGAATCTCTCTCCCTCTCTCTTTGTGTGTGTGTGTGACATCAACACCATACATTTAAAACACATTTTAAGTGCCTGGCTCCCCTCAAAGAACCCTGGGAACTTTTGTTTATTATTTGTGCTGGGAATACTAGCTCTGTGAGGGGTAAACTATAGTTCCCTGCATTCTTCTTGGGAAGCCATGTGCTTTAAATGTATGGTGTGGTTGTGACCCAGGTCTTAAGGCAATTTACAGACATACCTTAAAAATAGATAAAAGATATATTTGAAACAATGC